CAAGTGTATGGCACTTTGACTATCACAGTGAATATCAGTAACACCTTGATATAGACTTAACTCGCTAAATAAACTCTTCAACCACAAGGCTTCTTTGATTGCCTCGGTCACAGCCATATATTCTGCTTCAGTAGTAGACAAAGCTACGACAGGTTGTAGAGTAGCTTTCCAACTAACAGCACAACTGCCAATGCAAAATACATAGCCTGAAAGTGATCTTCTCCTGTCAAGATCCCCAGCGTAGTCTGAGTCTACAAAACCAACCAAAGTGTTATTATTTCTTCCAAACTCCAAACATACATTTGAAGTACCTCGCAAGTATCTGAGAATCCACTTCACAGCCTGCCAATGTGTTTTACCAGGGCAAGACATATATCTGCTAACAACACTGACTGCTTGTGCAATATCTGGACGAGTACAAACCATTGCATACATAATACTGCCGACTGCACTGGAATAAGGAACCCGTGCCATATAATCTTCCTCTTCATCTGATTTTGGTGATTGAGCAGCAGATAGCCGAAAATGGCTAGCAAGAGGAGTAGATACTGGTTTAGCATCTTTCATGCCAAAACGCTCCAAGACTTTCTCAAGGTAATTTTTCTGGGTCAAAAATAACTTTCCTACTCCTCGATCTCGATTGATATCCATGCCAAGAATTTTCTTAGCTGCTCCCAAATCTTTCATTTCAAATTCACTATTTAACTGCAGTTTCAAGGTGTGAATTTCTGACAAATTCTTGGCAGCAATGAGCATGTCATCAACATAAAGCAGCAAATAAATGAAAGAACCATCATTTAACTTCCGGAAGTAAACACAACTATCATACATGCTCCTCAAATAACCATGACCCAACATAAAGGAATCAAACCTCTTATACCATTGTCTTGGAGACTGCTTCAATCCATATAAGGATTTCTTCAATAAGCAAACATGGTCTTCCTTACCTTCAATTTCAAAACCCTGGGGTTGTCTCATATAAATTTGTTCTTCAAGTTCGCCATGTAAGAAAGCTGTCTTAACGTCGAGCTGTTCTAACTCCAAATTATACATGGCAACTAAAGCAAGCAAAACACGAATAGAGCTATGTTTAACAACAGGTGAGAATATATCATTAAAATCAACACCTTGTACCTGACTATAGCCCTTTGCAACTAATCGTGCTTTATACCTTGCATCTTCAACCCCTGGAATACCTTCCTTTTTCTTGAAGACCCACTTGCAACCAACAATTTTCTTAGCTGACGGCGGCTTTACAAGAACCCAAGTTTCATTCTGATGAAGAGATTCAATTTCTTCATTCATCGCAATCAACCACTTTGCAGAATCATCACAAGAAACTGCTTCTGAATAGGTGGAAGGCTCACCAACTGCATCAGTTTCTTCTGCAACAGACAAAGCATATGCAACTAAATTTGCATATCTTTGTGGTGGTCGAATGTCTCTCCTTGCTCTATCTCTGGCTATGGAATACTCTTCTTCTTCTGAACTATCTTCAACAGTAGATTCAGGTGTATCTACTGGCACTTTTGAATAGAAGATTTGGATTGAGAAGGACCAGAACTGCCAATATCAAGCTCCACCTGCTTCTGTGTACTATCAGTAGTACAAGGACTAGAAGACTCCTTCTTGGAAGATAACAGAGATAATTCATCAAAAGTAACATCTCTACTGATTACAAATTTTGGGGATTTGGGATCAGGATACCATAATCTGTATCCTTTCACCCCAGAAGCATACCCAAGAAAAATGCACTTTTTAGCCCTAGGCTCCAATTTTCCATCATTCACGTGCATGTATGCTGGACACCCAAAAACTTTTAAATTGGAGTAATCAGCAGGAGTACCTGACCAAACTTCCTCAGGAGTTTTGAAATCAAGAGATGCAGAAGGAGAACGGTTGACAATATAACAGGCCATATTGATCGCCTCTGCCCAAAAGTCGTTTGTCAACTCTGCATTGGAGATCATACATCTTGCTCTCTCCAAAAGAGTTCTGTTCATACGTTCGGCCACACCATTTTGTTGAGGCGTCATCCTGACGGTGTGATGCCGAACAATTCCTTCATTTTTGCAAAATTCATTAAATTCACCTCCACAAAATTCCATGCCATTATCTGTTCTCAACCGCTTAACATGTTTTCCTGTTTGTTTCTCAATCAAAACTTTCCATTGCTTGAAAGTTAGGAAAACATCATTTTTGTGCTTAAGAAAATAGACCCAAACTTTCCTTGAATAGTCATCAATGAAAGTCAACATGTACCTGGCACCACCTTTAGAAGGAGCACGAGAAGGACCCCATAGATCTGAATGAATGTAATCAAGAGTACCTTTTGTCTTGTGAATTGCTGGTGAACTGAAGCTGACTCTTTTCTGCTTCCCAAAAATACAATGTTCACAAAATTCCAATGGACCGGTACTTTGTCCACACAGAAGTCCTCTTTTGCTCAGTATGCCCAAGCCTTTTTCGCTCATGTGCCCCAAACGCATATGCCATAATTTGGTGATGTCTGTATCTGACAAAGATGATGTTGAAACAGCAGCAGCACCTGTCACAGTAGATCCCTGCAAAATATACAAAGTACCAGATCTGTGTGCCTTCATAACAACAAGAGCTCCTCGAGTGATTTTAAGAACTCCGTCTCCACCTGAATACCTGCACCCGATAGACTCAAGAGTGCCCAAAGAGATGAGATTTTTCTTCAAATCTGGAACATGTCTAACATTTGTGAGCGTCCTCACAATACCATCGTACATTTTAATCCGGATTGTGCCTTTGCCAACAACTTTACAAACAGCGTTGTTGCCCATTAAGACAACTCCACCTTCAGTTGATTCATATGTTGAAAACCAGTCCTTATTGGGACACATATGATATGAACAACCCGAATCTAAAATCCACTCATTGTTAGACCTAAAATTATTTTCCGTTGCACAGAAAATAGTTCCATCATTCTCATCAACGGCAATACTAGCCTCGGTGGTTTCACTCCTTTTCTCCTTTTGCTTTTCTTTATTTTTTAATTTAAAGCAATCAGAGATAATATGGCCCTTCTTTTTACAATAGTTGCACACCACATTTTTATGTCTGGACTTAGATCTACTTCTATTTTCTGTGTTTCTCCTTTCAGATCTACCCCGAACAAACAAGCCATCGGCTTGACTCCCACTAGTTTTCCCAGTAATATCCCTATCTATCTGCTCTTTAGATTTTAACGCAGATTTAATTTCCCGATACGAAATTGTTTCCTTTCCATATATCATAGTATCACGGAAATGCTTAAAGGATTGGGGAAGGGAACATAAAAGTAATAGGGCCTGATCTTCATCATCAATTTTCGAATCTATATTCTCCAAATCCATAATAATGGAATCAAATTTATCAAGATGGGAGAGTATAGATGTACCTTCAGACATCCGAAGCATATACAAACTCTGCTTCAAATATAGCCGATTCTCGACTGTCTTCTTCATATACAAGGCTTTCAATTTATCCCACATAGCCTTGGCCGAAGTCTCCGTTGCTACCTCACGCAATACCTCATCGGAGAGATTTAGGATAATACTGGATCTTGCCTTCTTATCCATCTCAGCAAAATTTGCATCTGTCACATCTTCTGGCTTTTTCTCAATTCCTTGAATTGCCAAATCAACTCCGTCTTGAACAAGAATGGCCTCCATCTTGAGCTGCCACATGCCGAAGTTGACATTCCTGTCGAATTTCTCGACAACCGTCTTTGTTATCGTCATTGTTGCCACAAAATCTGTAACTTGAAATTTGTCTCAAAAAAAAACTGGCCAAACAAATATGCAAGTCTCGTGAGCGGGCCCCACAGGGTGAGCGGACCCCACGACATAAGCGGGCCCCACGGGGATGAACGGACCCCACAAGGTGAGCGGGCCCCACGGATAAACGGACCCCACAGGATGAGTGGACCCCACAGGATGAACGGACCCCACCAGATGAACGGGCCCCACCAGATGAACCTGTCTTGCAAAATATAACAACCAGCTCTGATACCAGTTTGTTAGGACCGGGCCAGGAAATAGACAAACTCAAGTTAGCACAAATTAGGCGGTATAACCGACCATTTAATAGATAGGCGGTAGATACCAGGCATATAATAATTAGGCGGTAAAACCGACCATATAAAGACGGATAACAAAGCAAATAAGAGACACAAAAGATTTACGTGGTTCGGTCAAATTGACCTACGTCCACGGGCGAGAGAGGAGCAATATTTCTACTATGAAGAAGAAATACAAAAGCCGTAGGAAAGTGGTTCCTAGGCCAATAGGCACTTACAAAAGAGTTTAGGAAATATTCCTAAACTCAAAACAAGAGAGCCTAAAATATTTAACTGAATGGGCTAGATGACTCAAGAAGCTAATAGCCCATATAACTCTCTTGAGTGGTGCAAGTTAAATCCTTCAAAGGACCCTTCTATTTATAGGCCTCGAGTAGCCGGCTTCTCTTCAGCAGGCTCCGATGTGGGATGAGAAGGAAATGAAAAATTATGCCACAAGTCAAAGCTTGCGGCTCTGACAAAACAACAGTTCCGAATTCCCAATCTTTTCTCCTAGCTAAAATGGTTAATCCTGTCTGGCTCTGAACCGCAAGCTCGCATTGCAAATGAGACGGAAATCTTGTATCCATAAGGTTCGAGCTATGAAAGCAATTTATTCGTCCTTGCTTGTTTTGCTGTTGATCCCTTGTCTGATGTTGCTTCAACAACTTGGGCATAAGGCCTCTTTTGCCATGGCAACAAGACACCAAGCCTTATCAGCTTTGACTACTCCGACGGGTGCAGCAGCTTCTTCCCGTCGTGCCCATCTGTCCTACGAATTGAAGGTAGTGCCAAAGAGGTTAATGAGAGGGATTCACAGGCCCCGGACCCAGCCCCCACCTCCAAATATCAATCACCCTACTCATTTTCGCCGTTCCATGCCATATCCACCTCTAGAACCACCACCATCATTTGCACCACCGCCACCACCTCCAGGTCCAGGCTGTCCAGCTACGGGATGATGAATAATGTGTGGGATGCTTGTATAATTGTGTCTGGTAAGAAATGTACATGCGTGTTTGAACTTTGAAAAGATGTACCATCAGAGATTTTAAATTTTAGACTACCTATTCAGATTCTTTGTCATCTTCTAGTATTTCCATTTTCGTGGGAAGATTGCAAGCAATTTGGGCACTAAGAGAATGGTCTTCAGGCGACACTATACAAGACCAGGCTGCTGCAGTTAGGCTAGCTCTATTGAAAGCTGGAAGTCAAGGCTGGAGGAGCATCAGAATGGAACTGGATAACCGCAAGCTGGTAGATGCCATAAAGGGAGCAAGGCTCAACAATCAGCAGATGGCTACATTAATAGAGGACATTAGATCAATCTGTACTTTGTTTCATCAGTGCTCCATCTTTTTTGCCAACTCTAGGAAATTAGAATGTATTAAGCTAAGCATTTATGCTCTAAACATCTGGATAGATGAAGAATGGGTGAATCCCAATCTTAGATGCTAGGCATCAGTGTTCTTGTGGGGCAGCTTCTCCGTTTTGATTGGACCTTTGTCCAAATATCGTAAAGGTTACGGATATATATATAAAGCTAACGTTTCGACAAAAAAAAAAAAAAATTCTAGTATTTCCATTTTCGTGAATTTTCCTTTTATTCTGGGAAGGATTTTCTAATTCATAAATACTCAAATCTGTTGTCGCCTGTAAGTTGTGTCCACTCATCGACCGCCGTTAGTCAACAGTGATTTACCACCATTAGGTTCGCATTCATAAGATCTTTCTATTTCCTACCACCATTAGGTTCGCTTTCATAAGATCTTTCTATTTCCAGCCAATTCATGCTGGGATATTAATCAGTAGTAGGAGTAAAATTTTGCTTTTAACCCATGGCAGCGATCTTGACTTTTACATTGTAGGAGGGAGATTTTATTTTAGGAGGGGTGGAAGGCCATTTTACCCTTGTCAGACGCCCAAAGAAAAATGGTACTTTAACTTCTCATGCACCCACTTTCTTTTATTATTCCGTAATTTTGATGAAATGTAAGAAACTGATCCGATCCCACCAGAGAGTACGTGAGATAGTTCTTCAATTTTACATGAAAAGTTAAAAATAGAGAATTAACCAAGTTCTCATGCAGTCTCTACAGCTAGTTTGACTGATTCCGTAGTTTGACAATTATTAGCAGATTTGTTGATCGATTTTCATATACAATTTAATTATGTATCTTTGGAAAAAAAATTTACATAATTTTAAAAAATAGCCCTAAGGGAAAGGAAAAAAAAAAAAACTAAGCTCACATACTTTGAACATTCTTTAGCCTTTTAAGTGTCACAATGTTGAGACTTGAAACGAGAATAGATTTGAGATTCATATGCATATGGATTGGCTGGAGGTCCAATCCGATGTTGACCTTAGTGCCACATATGGATTCATTTTTTTTTGTTTGGTAATAGTTCCACTGTATAAAATGCTATAGGATAGCTATCTAATTAGAAGTTAGAAGAACAGGTTCAAAAATGAAGATCACACTTGTGTCTTCGATAACATTCCTTCCTTTTGATCTATGAACTGGCTATGCTACAGGGCTCCCCCGTGGCCGCGGTGTCTATAAGAGATCCACCTCCGCCGTCATCAAACCCCAAAGCCCGGTAATCCTAGTCGTCCTTTTATACCTGCTCATCACTCGCAGGCACCGCCGCCACCACATTTTTCTTAGTTACTTAAGAGCTATGTGTGTGAAAATATTATTCATTTTTTTATGAATGCCTTTGTCATACTATCATTGGTGGCTTCACAATTGTACTTCACAAAATGTAAATGAATTAAACAATATTTTGTTTGGTCCAGAACACGTACAGCATGCGAATTTAATGTTGCACCTGTAGAAGTATGAACCCATTAATTGGTTATTTAATTGGATGTTGACGCTGGGGAAAAAAAATAGAGTGATTCTTGGCCTTCCTACAGCCTTCTTCAAGACTCCCAACCAACCAAGAATCATCAGCTAAAATCTTGGATGACAAGCTTGATCATGAAGTGAATCCTTAATCTTTTCCTTCTTGAAATATTGTTCAACTTGCTGTTTTCGGACAGGTTCAAGATGAAGACAGCTGATACCAGTATGTCTCATGATCATGTACGAAGTGGCAGGCTTAGACGGTGGATACACAGGCATTGCTTCTGCAATTGCCGGGGCAATATTACCTCCTCAAGTAGGTGTTTCGGCTATGCCTGGTAGAGCTCCATCACCACCCCCCAAGAGCCGTGATCCTGCTCATCCTTTCATATCTCCTAATTGCCCACCACCGGTACTACCACATTGCTAGTTGCCAGAGCTTTGAGCTATCTATCTTGAAATCTCAACCTTCACATCTGCCATATCAAATACTCGACCTTTCAGTTTCACTACCTAATTACCATTTGTCGTCTTCTTCTACATGTCAAAGTCTGAGCAGTTGTAACATTACCATTATCTCTACTTAGTACTTGCATTATGTGTTGAATGCGTCAGAGTTTCCTAGCTGCTTCCCACCTACTAATATGTCATTTATCAATGCTAATCGCTTTACTGGTCTGGCAACCAACCGACATATGATATGAGGCAACGCTTTCTTCTCCTCAAACTCATAGAACTAGGATTGATATCCTCCTCCTGATTGTTACTAGCTTTTTCGCTTCAATATTCAAGGGTGTGTTTTCTCCACCCATGAGAAAAGTTCATCATTATTTGCTTAGCTTGCTTTTGATCCATGAAATCCTGCTGATTCAGCAGGGATGTGTGAACAAAGCCTATGTCGCCTTGGCAGCAGCAAGAGTTTTAGAAGAACCCTTCTCAGCTTTGGCTTTTGATGCACCGCCTTCTTTTTCCCACGATGCTCTGTCTCACTATGATTTCAGGGCAGCACTGCGAGGGCGAACTAGGAGACCTAGGCTTTCTCCACCATCTCCAGTTATCAATATCCCTATTCATTTCAAGAGTCCACCACCGTCGCCTCCATCTCATCCACCGCCGTCGCCGCCACTAGCACCGGCACCGCCGCCACCATGTTAAATTGTTTATGTATGTTGGTTGGAACAGTCAGAACTATATATGTATCCAGAAGTGCACCCATGTATTGCTTCAAACAAAATCATCGGGCTCTTATTAGTGCTTTGATCTCCCTGTGTCTTTCTTAATTTCCAATAAAAATTGAAACACTGGCTCCTAGTGTTAATAATTATCACTTCAATCTGTATGTCGTAGCAGTTTTTACATTACTTAATTATATGATATTCCTTTTTTCAAGTTTTGTGGTGGATTCTGCCTTGTCATTTCTGAGGAAAAATTGCGTGACATATTCCTGTTTATGCATTTATTTTTTTATTCCCTTTTCCTCCTCATTGAAGTGATTTTTGTTTTATTTTTCCCTTAGACTAATGGACTAGGCCTTGCCTTGTTATTAGTATTTTAAAGGGATTCGTCAAATAATTGAAAAAGGGCTTATTGATGAAAAGTCAAAAACTCAAAAGCATACTTTAACATTTAATTAAATTTAAAATTTTGATGGTAATCTGGCAAATGGGCTGATATGGGGACACGGGGTCCTTTTTTCGTTCATGGTGTTGGTGGGCTGAGCGGATGCAAAGTGATGTACCATCTCCACAGAATTCAATTTCCATTTTGATACCCTATTTCATCAAATGAGCACATCTAAAACTTTAACACATCGTGGATAGCTGGATTTAGCAGAAAACTGGGATATGCTACCAATATTCTTGCTGAGTTGTGGGGGATAAGGGATGGACTATCCTTAGCTTCCTCTCTAAACTTGCAAAATGTTGAATTAGAAGTTGATGCTAAAACTGCTCTACACTTGTTTAAATCTGCAGATACCTCAACTCATGAGTATGCTTCAATTATCTCTGATTGCAGGTTCCTGATCTCTGCTCTGCCGAAAGTCACACTTAGACATGTTTACCGAGAAGCAAACCAGTGTGCTGACAGATTGGCAAAATTGGGTGCTCAATAAGACGGAAATTTTGTATGCTATGAAAGTATCCCTTATGCTTTAAGAGGTCTAGTAGATGCAGATCTTAAGGGAATTTGTTTCCCGCGTTTTGTACCTATACCTTAAGTTTGTTTAATATATAGTCCCTTTTATTACCAAAAAAAAAAATAAAACTTTAACACATGCCAGTGTCCACTAGAACACTGGAAAATGAAATTAAAAGATTTTGTAACTTGAAAATGTAGTAATAACTCGGCATGAACAAACCCAATGTCTCGTCGCCTGTAAGTTGTGTCCACTCATCGACCGCCGTCAGTCAACTGTGATTTACCACCATTAGGTTCACTTTCATAAGATCTTTCAATTTCCAGCCAATTCATGCTGGGATATTAATCAGTAGTAGGAGTAAAATTTTACTTTTAACTAGGGGTGGGCAAAAATACCCGCTGACCCGAAAATTCGAGAGATCCGATCCGATCTGCACCGAAAAATAGGATATCCAATCTGATTTCTCTTAGCGGATCAGATAGGGTCGGGTACCCGGAACATTCGGATATGGGTACGGATCGTAAAAGCAAAAACCCGCGGGTACCTGACCCAGGGGTATAATATATAAATATTAAAAAATATAGGGGCAATTTTATAATTTTTTAAGTTATTAACCCTAAGTTCCTAACCTAAATCAATCCGTTGGTCATCCATTCAGATTTCAGCCTCTGCTTCAGCCGACACTCTTCACTCTTCAGTGGCGGATGCCCTTGTCTCTCAAACCTAGGGCCGAAGACTACCGTTAAAACCCCTCAAACTGCTTGAATCGAATCCCTTTCTCTTCAGCCCTGTTTCTCCGTTGTCGTCCTTTTTTACCTTCAAGTAAAGGGACGCTGCCAAAAGGCCGCCGACGCCGGAGCCGGGTGCTTTAGCTATCAAGGTTTTTCAATAACTCTTTTCTTTTAAGTTCAATTCTTTCTGCAAAACTATTCTGCATCTATGTGTACGTCTATGCATTTGTCGAATTGGCTACATGAATTCTAATCTTTCGTCCAAATCGAAACTGGGTTGTACAATTAAGATTAGGAATTGCTGGACCCATACAGAAAAAAGAAAAAAAAAACGAAAAAGGGGGTCGGCATAAATGGTACAGATACGGAAACAAATTCTGGCCATAATTTTCCATGGAGATACTCTTCATGATAGGAGAAAAATGAAGCAGCCCTTTTCTTTCTAATTCATCTTTAGAAATCAACAAATTTTTAGTTGTCCACTTTTTCGGATTTCTTTTCTTCCTAATGATGGGATCTAATCTAAATGCAAGGCACGTACATTTCCAATAATACTAAGATAGAATGAAGCTCTGGTGGTCACATGCGACATGTTCTGAAGTATACATATGCCTGGAATGAAGCGACATGCTCTGGAATGAAGACAGCTTCTTGATTTATGCATAGTCAATGCATTATGCCATGTTTGCTGGATTTGAGAATGTCTATATAGTGTATATTTTTCTCATTTATATACCCTTTTTGGAAGTTATGTATCAAAGTAGATATTTCTAACTTTATGATTTGGTGTGGAACTACTGCTACTGATCATTTTTGAGATTTGAATATGCTTCGTCTTTGTCTAGTTTGAATGATGTTGTTGCCCTTTTTTTTTTTTTTTTTTTTTTTTTTGAATGATGCTATCGTCCAGCAGGTTCATCTTATGTCTTATGAGTTTGCATAATTTGCATTCTTTAAATAGGGGCGGATACCCTATGACCCGTCCCTATTTTTCGGGTATTCGACGATCGGGTACCCGAGGAAGATTGGAGCGGATTAGGGTCAAAAAAATAGTGACCCGATATGTTAGGGTCGGGTCAGCCAATTAGCGTTCGGGGCGGGTACCCGACCCGTGCCTACCCCTACTTTTAACCCATGGCAGCGATCTTGACTTTTACATAGGTGGAGGGAGATTTTATTTTAGGAGGGGTGGAAGGCCATTTTCCCCTTTTCAGACACCCAAAGAAAAATGGTACTTTAACTTCTCATGCACCCACTTTCTTATATTATTCCGTAATTTTGATGAAATGTAAGAAACTGATCCGATCCCCCAAGAGAGTACGTGAGATTTAGTTCTTCAATTTTACATGACTAGTAAAAAATAGAGAATTAACTAAGTTTTTATACGCTTTCTGCTGGTAGTTCGATTGATTTCGTAATCTGGTAATTACTAACAGATATCATGATCATTTTCCGTATATAATTTTATTGTGTATTCTTGAGACAAAATGTTACGTAACTTTAGTAAATTAGTCTGGTTGAAAAGTTGAGATATTCTTAAGTGAAAAAAAAAAGCAAAAAAAGCTCTTATGCTTTGAACATTCTATAGTCTTTCACGTGTTACCCTGTTGAGACTTAAAACGAGAATAGATTTGAGTTTCATTTGCACATGGACTGGCTAGAGGTCCAAGCCGATGTTGACCTTAGTGCCACATCTGCTCTTATCCAAAAGTAGCTGAATTTGACTTCGAAATAAAGGCTCTTCATCGTCCTCCACCTGTCCACCACCACCAACGCACCATTAAATCAGTATAATGTGTGTGTATATATATATATATATATATATATATTTATTGGTAATAGTTCCACTGTATAAAATGCTATAGGACTTAGTGTAGCTATCTAATTAGAAGTTAGAAGAACAGGTTGAAAAATGAAGATCACATGTCTTTGATAACATTCCTTTTGATGTATGAACCGGCTATGCTATAGGGCTACTACTAGGGCAGGGGCTCTCCTGCCTTGGAAATGCTCCCCGATGAATTTTGCAGCCGCGGTGTCTATAGGAGATCCTCCTCCGCCGCCACCAAACCCCAAAGCCCCGTAATTAGGGGTGCGCCGGGTTGGATATTCGCTTCATTCACCGTTTGACTGATCCGACCCACATTTTGCGAGTCAGTCATTTTTTTACCCTTATTCGTCCCGTATATCAGTGGGTACTCTATAATCGGGTATCCGCTAAGATAGGATCGGATCAACGGGTACCCGTCCCGTCCCATTTATCATTTAATTAAAAAAATAATTTACATCAATTTAATTTTATATTTTACACATTCATATAAGATTTAAAAAATATTTTTTTTCTAAAAAAAAGATTTCCTACCAAAAAACAAGCATGTGAAGAAAATATAAGATAAAGGAAAAAAATTAAAAGAATTCGAAATCAATAAAAATTTGAAATAAGTAGCATACTTTTTAATATATATGTTCCACATTAATTAAATTTTTTTCTATAAAATATAAGATCATGGCCTCTACAAATGAATCTTGTAAATAAACTATAGTTTTTCATATTTATAATGCAATTTGTTCAATAAAATTACTTATTTAGTTCTTATTATTTTATAATGTGTGTACAAAAATAAAAAATATATATATATATTTATACGGGGGATCGGGTACCTGTGGATTTTTAATTATGTGACTTTAACTTGCTTTGCATCTTAGCGGGTACCCGACCCTCTTTTGATCCGATCAAATAATAAAAATCGGATATCCTAATTTTCGAATCGGATCGGATCGGATATGACAAATTTTCGGATTAGCGGATAATTTTACCCACCCCCAGTAATCCTAGTCGTCCTTTTATATCTACTCATCACTCGCAGGCACCGCCACCACCACATTCTTCTCAGTCACTTAGAGCTATGTGTGTCAAAATAAAATTATTTATCGTTTTTTTATGAATGCCTTTGCCATACTATCATTGGTGACTTCACAATTGTACTTTACCATGTTTGGGTTTTTCACAGGTCAAATTTGAGGGAGTTTTCTATGTATGAAATTTATCACAAATGCATTCACAAATTATAGCGTCCTAGATAGGTGATTGGTGGAATATTTACCGTCCATTCCTTCTCGGTTAAAGCTCGATTTATGCTTTCTCCAGAATGACAAAATGTAAATTAATTAAACAATATTTTGTTTGAAGTTTGGACCATTACGATATTAACTAACCCAGCAAATGCTCCGGAACACGTACAGTATGCGAATTTAATATTGCCCCGGTAAAAGTATGAACCCATTTTTTAATAATGTTTGCCAGAGCACTAGCTAGAGCTTCGAGTTATCTATCTTAAAATCTCAATCTTTACATTTTCTTTTTGGTCATTGGGGGAGGTCCAACTAGATCTATAGGAGAGTCGATGGAGACTGAATCACCATCATATTAAACAGGTGTACTATGCACGATTTAATAAAAATCACATATTATAATAAATGATGAAAGGTAAGATTTGAATTCTTGACCTTTCACTCACTCATAAAGACTTAAAGTGTTTGGTGGCCGCCAACTCAAATGACCGGTGGTTTCTCAACCTTCACATTTGCTATATCAAATTCTCGACCTTTGAGTTTCACTAACTAATTACGGGCTTGTTTGGAGCTTGAGTTTTTTGGGAATTTATCTAAAATTTTACTGTAATGCACTATAGAAGTTTTTAAAAAAATTTTGTAGAAGTTTTTGTAAAGTAAAAAATTTTGTAGAAGTTTTTGTAAGGTGAAAAACTTTTTTTTTCCTTTTTTTTTTCTTTCTCTTTCTCTTTCTCTTTCTTTTTCTTTTTCTTTTACTTTCTTTCCTTTTTCTTTTCTTCTTCTTCTTCTTCCCCCTCCCCCTTCCCTGTTACCTCCGCCACCCCCAGCAGCAACTCCACCAATGCCACCTTCCGCCACCCTTCTCCTCCTTTCCTCCCACCATCCCCTCTGTCCCCGCCACCCCTCTCTGTGCCTTCTCCCTCTGCCCCGCTACCCCCTCTGCCTCACCTTCCCCCTCCCCGCGCCACCCCTTCTGCCCCGCCACTCCCCGCCTCCCCTGTTTCCCTTCCCGTTTCTCACAATCTTTCTTTTCTTTCTTTTTTTTTCACAGAGAGGTGGGGGAGGAAATGGGGGAGACGCAGAGAGAAAAAAAAAAGACAAGAGGGGAGGATGGTAGGGGAGGAAGAGGGGGAGAGGAAAAAAAAGAGGAAAAAAAAGGGGAAAAAAAAGAAGACCGGCACCAGCACCGGAAATGGACATCGGAGCCAGCAACGAAGGTGGTGGTGGGGGAGGAAGAAGAGGAAAAAGGGAAGGGAATTTTTTTTTTATTGTGTTTTGGATATTTTAAGTGTGTAGGTTAAAAATTTTGATAAGTTTTTAGGATTTCTGTAGCACAAGTTGTTAAAAAACTAGTATAATAAAAACTTGATAAAATACAAGCCTTCCAAACAGGCCCTACCATTTGTCTTCTTCTATATGTCAAAGTTTGAAGCAGTTAACATCGTTACGTTGCCATCATCTCTACTTGTACATCTTGAATGCGTTAGCATGGTTCAAAGTTGCAGCCAGGGTCGTAGTTCTAATTGTTTCATATTGGTCTTGACATATCGATCGTGGTTTCGATGATGCGTAAATTTTTAAAATATTTAATATTTTAAAAATTATAAAAAAATATGATAAATAAAAATAATAAAAAATTAGCAAATATAAGAAAAATTCAAATTGACTTGAGACGATTCGACTATTTCTATTTATTTTGGAGCCGTGTCAACCGAATTTTCGATGACTCAACTGAATTCTCGGGATTCATTATCTCGAAACCATCTTGTCCCTGTATTAGAACAGAAAACAGCCCCAGTTGTCTCGGACTCCCGGTCTCTTACCCCGAATCGTCTCGTCTCGGTGTCTGCCAAGTCTTTGAAGTTTGAACCATGTGCGTAGGCGGTTCCTAGCTGCTTCCCACCTACTACGTCAGATGAATTAGAATACAGGTGTATTTTTCAAAGCTAACTGCTTTACTGGTCTGGCAACCAACGGACACATGATATGAGGCAACGCTTTCTTCTTAGCAAACTCATACTAGGATTGATGTCCCTCTTCTGATTATTACTAGCCTTTTCACATCAATATTCAAAGGTGTGTTTTCTCCACCCATGAGAAAAGTTCATCATTAATTTATTTGCTTAGCTTGCTTTTGATCCATGAAATCCTGCTGATTCAACAGGGACGCGTGAACAAAGCCTATGTCGCCTTGGAAGCAGCAAGAGTTATAGAAGAACCCTTCTCAGCTTTGACTTTTGATGCACCGCCTTCTTTTTCCCACGATGCTCTGTCTCACTATGATTTCAGGGCAGCACTGCGAGGGCGAACTCGGAGACCTAGGCTTTCTCCACCATCTCCAGTTATCAATACCCCTATTCATTTCAGTCCACCACCTCCATCTCATCCACCACCGTCGCCGCCGCTAGCACCGGCGCCGCCACCACCATGTTAAATTGTTAATGTATGTTTGGAACAGCCAGAAATATATGTATCCAGTTTCTCTGTCCATTAAGTGTAGCCATGTACTGCTTCAAATAAAATCATCGGGCTCTTATTAGTTATTACTGATTTGATCTCCCTGTATCTTTCTTAATTTCCAATAAAAATTGAAACACTGGCTCCTAGTGTTAATTATCACTTCAATCTGTATATCGTTGCAGTATTTACATAAGTTAGATGATATTCCTTTTTTCAAGTTTTGTGGTGGATTGTGCCTTGTCATTTCTGAGGAAAAATTGCGTGACAGTCCTGTTCATGTATTTTATTCTTTT